GCGAGGAATCCCTCTGAGATATATATAGAGAGAGAGAGAAAGAGAGCAGCAATTTGAGACTCCATTCACACCTTCACCAGGTATTCTACACTAGTTCAAGCTTCAGCTGAAAATGCTTCCTTTGATTTAGTGATCCTCGAGTCTGTGGTGCATCATGCTTCCTCACACCCACCTTCTAACTGAAACACTGTTTTGGACTCATCCATAGTGAATACCCCTGTGAATCAGCACTGGAAGAAGAAAGGAAGGTTACTTACCTTCTAGGAACTGGAGTTCTTCAAGATTTGTGGTCCCTGTGGGTATTCACATTCCACCCTCATTCCCTTTTGCTCAGGTCCTCTTTGGATTCACAGAAGAGCAGGAACTGGAGCGGTGTTTGGTCTGCATTACTCCTTATACCCTCGGTTGGGAGCATGAGGTGGTGTCAGGTGCAGGTGTTGACTAATGGGCTCTATTGATGAATTTCCAGTTCCAAGAGCACATGCACACCTGCAGAGAGGTAACACACATCTTGAAGTTACCGTCCTTTACTAGTGCTGCTTTCAGCCGTAGTAAAATGTATTCACTAAGTGTTCTGTAATATAATCTTTCCTCTACTTTCACTGCAGTCTACCCAACATTCAGATGTTATTCCAATTAAGCCCCCAAAATAATGCAACAGATGTTGTAAGGGACACTGGTATTAGAGGAGCTTTTGTCTTTTTAAAAGACTAGAAGACCTGCAAAACCAATTCAAGCCAGCAGGCTGCATATTAATCAATAGTCCAAAATTAGTGCAGATCTATGGAAATTACAATTCTTCCACAATTCTTAGGTTTAAGGTCATTTTGAGGAGTCCATTCATATTTGGCAATTGAATTTTGTAACCTAGTTGGCTTGTGCATACAAAGTGTTAAGCAAGCATGTTGAAAATAAACTTTTTTGGATAACTATCTGTGTGTAGTATCACCAATACACTAAGACAATTTACTGGCTGAGCAAGGGCAAAGTTATTACTGAATTCTCATAAAGGTTTGAGAAAACAGCTTTTCTATTTAAAATTAACAGCAAGCAACTGTGAGACTAAAAAAAGACAGTGGGAAATTAATGGGTGACCCATTGCAGATTACTAGATGTTATGCATTAATGAGTAAGGCTCCGATCCTGAAAACAGAGGTACTAGCATGACCCCCTGATTCTGCCTTCCAACAGAATCTAATGCAGGATTGGATCCTGGAATTTTTCACTAATATTATAAAACTTTGTTTATATTCTGAAACAAAGGGGTTGGTTTCCCCAATGCAGTTTAGTCTTAACTAATTTCTGGTGTTCTTATTATAGCTGGAGTATAGGCCTTGGTGTATATAAATGATTCATGGACCCCATCTAGTCAGGTTGTCGGTGAGGATTGAACCCAAATTGTGTATCTGAAAACGTGAGCCGTTATTGCTTGAGATAAAAGACATGTCTGTTTGTTTGCTGAGAGGCAAGAGCAGACTCTTAAACCTCGATATGTGGTGTAACTACTAGAGTGGGACTTGGGTGTTATTCTCAAAACCGAAGAGGAGATGTTTGCCTCGTCTTATACCCAATAGCACAGTGGTTAAGGTAATCATCTGGCATGTGAGAGACCGAAGTTTGAATCCAGGTCTCTCCCCCAGGTGAGCATCCTAACCACCAGGGTGTTGGTTATTCTAGGGTGGTGGTGCCTCTATCTCTCTTCTTGAAGCTGTTCCACTCTGTATAAATAATTATTCAATTGGGCCAGTGAGAGTGACTCTAGACCGTTGATTATGGCATTCACCAGGGTGGGGGAATAGGCCTGGGTTCAAGTCCCTGTTCCAATGAATATTTAATTAGTTATACAAAGTGGAATAGCTTCAATGTGAGAGAGGCACCCTCCTCCCCCCAAATAGCCAGTAGCCTAGTGGTAAGGGTACTCACCTGAGGAGGTGATTTGCTCCAGAGTAGGGATTCAAATACGGGTCTCCCACATTCCAATAGAGTGTCCTAATTGCTGAACTATTGGGTATAAGGGAGCAATGTAACCATCACTTCCTCCTAAATTTGGGGAATCTAATCCTGTTTATCCAAATTTCCTTTGCTTTCATTAAAACAAAAATGCCCCAAATCAAAACAGTTTTTTCTGAAATTTTTGATTTGCTGAAAATTCTGAAAAATTTTGCTGAGGTCTGACCCAGAATTCTTTGGAACTGTCTACAAACCAAGAAATCAATTATTAAAACATCTCTACTCATGTAAAAAGTGTGATGAAAGTAAAAGTAAAAGGCCCTTTTAAAAGAGTCAGTTTTTTCTAAGCTCCATTTTGAACAAGTTATACACTTCGTGAATATCCAGTGAAGCTGTTAAAAACTTGTGTAACTGTAAAATAAACAAACTTGAAAAAGACCAGCTGGATAAGTTACAGAATGCTGACCTCATTTTTTTTTTTTAAAGTAACTTTATCTAAGGAGTTGACAGATCATTTTGGTCTTGTAAATAATATCCAAAATTAGAATTTTATACTAACATTGCGAGTGTTAAGCCTTTATTTTCCCAAAGGTAGTTAGAAAAGTTTGACATACTTACAAAAATAGGAAGAGATCAAGCCATAGTAATCTCAGCCAGAATTTTGTCAGACTTGTATTTTTGCATCTAGAAGGTCAGATAGTTCAAAATAAAGAGCCGTTTTTTAAACATGAATATAAATAATATATAAATAAATGATGATATATTTTTTCATCAGCCTGTAAGTAATTAACATCTTGTTCTAACACTGGTAAATCTTAGCAGATATCAGAAAATGTAGAGTGAAGATCTAATATTCCTCTTTCCTCAATGGGAAGTGCTGGTGTGTAGACACAGGAACTCTTTGACACAAGAACTTCAGTGCAGTCAGTTTATATCCACACTTCATTAAATATGGTACAGTGCTCACACTTTTGGAAATGAGGTGTAGTCGAATCAAGGGGGAAATCCTTACTGACTGGGTACAAGCTTCAGTTACTCTGTAGATGGTACTCTATACCTCTGGATAGGCAAAACTGAGGTCCTCATATCCATCTTTTCCTGTATTAATGCATCTTTTTCTGATAAAATGCTTTTTTGGTTTCTTCAGTCAGATGTGAGAGTTCCTGTAGCTGAATGCGTCTCAGATATTGCTGTTGCAGTTAAAGCCACTCTTTTTTTGACCAAATGGCAAAGGAGGCTTAGTTCCCACTACCTTTAGACTTCTCAAGAAAAAACAAGAAAGGCAAAGTTAACTTTTTAAAAACCAATAAAACTCTGTGATTGTTTGGTTTTTTCTTTACTCCCTTCAGTTTTATATTGATTCTTCAGCCAATGTAGAGATGAAATCTGGATCTTCTGTCCTGTCACTTTAGCACTATTTGCTTTTGAGAAGGACATCTGAAACTAGTTTTTTTGTTTGTTTGGATTTTTTTAATATTAAATCAGTTGATGGTGCTGATTTTGTGTCTGTGACCAGGGCTTTTCAGTAAAACATTATTTTAGTTCATTGTTGTATATGGAGCACTTTTTAACGCAGCACCACAGAAACTGCTGATACTTAGCTCTCAGACGTGGAGATCTACCAGCATCCATTCCAGTTCAGAGTCAGCATACGTGTCTCCACCGCAAGTTTGCTTGTAACAATGTCAAATGAGGGGTGAGAGAAAATTGTAGACTACTACATTCCATCAAATGTACTTGGTAGATACATGAAAAGGGACAATTGCCGAAATCCCATGCGAGACCACAGTTAAACAAAGCATACATGGGTAGATGGCTGCACTCTGTGTAATTAGGAAAGTGCAAAACCCCATACCTGGCAAAGAGGCAATTAAATAAAACAGAGGAGTATCTAGCCACACCCTGCACAGCTGGAATCCTTATGTAAATGCAGTTATTTAATACGAACATGGTGAAAATTATTTTTAAAAGGTAGCCAAGGCAATCATATTACAATAGACCAGGGATTCTCAAACTTCATTGTACCGCAACCCCCTTCTGACAATAAAAATTACTAGACAGCCCCAATGGAGAGGGGGCGCGGGGAGGGGACTGAAGCCTGAGCCCACCCAAGCCCTGTTTCTACAGGCAGGGGGCCAAAGTCTGAGCTCCACCACCCTGGGCGGGGAGGGACAAAGCCCAAGGGCTTCATCCTGGGCAGGGGGCTGTTACTAATAGAGGTGGTTGCACCCCAGGTGGCGGGGCACAGGCTTTGGCCCTGGGCAGTGGGCTTCGGCTTTGGCCCCGGGCCCCAGCCAGTCGAACGCTAGCCCTGGCAACCCTATTAAAATGGGGTCATGACCCACACTTTGAGAACCACCAGACTGATTCCCCTTCTTCCTCTCCACCCCAGCCCCCTCATGCAAAGTCTGGCCCAAGAGACCCAGAAAGGAACAAGTCTAAATGTTCTAAAAATTCATTAATCTTATTAACCTACCTCTTCTTAACTTCACAACTAATCTCACCCTTTCCCTTAGAGAATCAAAGGCTTTCTCATTTGTCCCTCATTATAGTTTCAGTCATCCAATAAAGAAACAGTTCAATGTGACTTAAACTGACCAATCACACAGCAGTAAATAGTGAATAACACAAGCACTCAACGAACAGTTTACATGCAAATTTAGGCCAAAATTTACTCATTTGAAGTAATTATTTCAACAATTATGAGAAATCAGTCTGTTCATGAACAATTCCCAAACAAGAAAAAGAGTGAAATTCTTTGATCACATTGTTTGCAGCAACCTCTGTTGGTGATTGGATGTTAGTTTGCATGTGGGTGGTGTCAAATAACAATCTGTTTACTTAAATTAATGTTTACAGTTAAGTCGTAATAATTGGAGAAATAGCCTGAGCTTGAATTCTCTTTATTGAGCAGAATGGGGATTCTTCCTTTCACTTTAGTGACATTTAGTAACTATGGAGATGTGTATTCACCTATACGCTGAAATGCTGATGATGTGCCTGAAACATCGCACTGAACTTACTAATGTACTCATTTCTTGTTTTTTCAGGAGTTAGCTCTCCGTAGCCAACTTCCAACTATGGAACAAGACGGTGGCTCTCAAAATCCAGTGTCATCTCCTGGAATGTCTCAGGAACTGAGAACAATGACTACAAATAGTTCTGATCCCTTTCTTAACAGGTTTGTAGGAGAAGCTACTGAAAAGAAATTAAGATTCTGTTTAGTACATGTAATCATTTATTTTGAACATCTGTCTGTGCCAAAAACCACAGCTGTAATTGAATCTTTCCTTAAATGGCAAGTGAACTAAAAGTTAAGGTTTAAAAGCTTCCTCCTGTGGGAGGAAGTAAACTGTTCAGACTTGTAGGAAAGATTCTTATTCAAAGTCATAACATGTTTCCCTATGCATAGTCTGTTGACTAACAGTTACCTTAAAATTACTGACTCAGAAGAGCTTGTGAATAGCTTGCTATGAAATCAAATGGACTGTGAGGTACATTTACGATTTCACTTGGAGGTTAATTTTAAGGTGTTTTCACACAGAGTATTTAGCCTGGCAGTATTTTCACTGCAGTAGGATTAGTGCTAGAAACAGTGGTGGGATTTATTTTTAAATGCCGCATTGTTTAAAGTTCATTTGTTGGTTCAAGGAGTTGACATTTTGTATTGTGCTTATGCAAAGTGTCAATGAAGAAAGGAGAAATCTGTGACCAGCAGATTTAAGGAAAATAAGGAGGAGTTTTTTAAATATATTATTGGCAAAAAGCATCCTGATAATGGTACAGATCCATTAGTAGATTGAAATGGTAGAATTATCAATAATACTGCACCAAAGGCAGAAGTGTTCAATAAATATTTCTGTTCTGTATTTGAGGAAAAAACAGATGATGTAGTACTATCATATGATAACACTCTTTTCATTCTAGTAGTAGCTCACGAGGATGTTAAACAGCAGCTACTGAAGTGAGACATTTTTAAATCAGTAGGTCCAGATAACGTGGATCCACAAATTTAGTTCCAGAAGACTGGAAGAAAGCTAATGTGCTAATATTAAAAAAAGGGTAAATGGGATAACCTAGTAGTTATAAGCCTGTCAGTCTGACATCAAACCTGGGCAAAATAATGGAGCAACTGATATGGGACTAGATTAATAGAGAATTAAAGGAGGGTAATTTTATTAATGTCAATCAACATGGGTTTATGGAAAATGGATCCTGTCAGACTAACTTGATAGTGATATTACAAGTTTGTTGATAGGGTAGTAGTGTTCATGTAATATACTTAGACTTTTGTAAGGCATTTAACTTTAAAAAAAAACACAAAAAAAACCCAAAAAACCTAGCACAATACAAAATCAAGGTGACATACATTAAATGGATTAAAAGCTGGTCTCAAAATGTAAGAGAATCATTATCAAGTGGATTTGTTTCCAGTGGGGGGTCTTCCAAGGATCAGGCTTGGCACTATGTTGTTTATTATTTTTATCAATGACCTGAAAGAAAACACAAAATCATCACTGATAAAGTTTGCAAATAATACAAAAATTGGGGGAGTGGTAAATAATAAAGAGGTCAGGTCACTAATACAGAACGTTTTGTATGTTTGATAAACTGGGCACAAGCAAACAATATGTACTTTAATATGGCTAAATATATGTCTAGGAACAAAGAACATAGGCCATACTTACAGTATAGGGGACTGTCTCCTAGAAAAGAGTGACTGAAAAAGATTTGGGGGTCATGATGGATAATCAGCTGAACATGAGCTCCCAGTGTAACACAGTTGCGAAAAGGACTAATGCGACCCTTGAATGCATAAACAGGAAAGTCATGAGTAGGAGTACAGTGGTTATTTTACCTCTGTATTTGGCACTGGTGCAACCATTGCAGGAAGAGTGTGCCCAGTTCTGGGGTTAACAATTCAAGAAAGATGTTGAAAAATTTAGAGAGGGTTCAGAGAAGAGCCACAAGATTGATTAAAATATTAGAAAACCTGTCTTTTAATGATTGAGCTCCTGGAGTCTGTCTATTTAGTTTAACAAAGAGAAGATTAAAGGATGACTTGATTAGAAACTGTAGGTACCTACATGAGGAACAAATATTTGATAGGTTTCAGAGTAGCAGCCGTGTTAGTCTGTATTCGCAAAAAGAAAAGGAGTACTGGTGGCACCTTAGAGACTCAAATAAATTGGTTAGTCTCTAAGGTGCCACTAGTACTCCTTTTCTTTTTGCAAATATTTGATAATGGCTCTTCAGTCTAGGAGAGAAAGGTATAACACAGTGTAATGGCTGGAAGTTGAAGTTAGACAAACTCAGACTGGAAATAAGGCATACATTTTTGACAGTGAGGGTAATTAACCATTGGAACAATTTACCAAGGGTCATGGTGGATTCTGCATAACTGACAATTTTTAAATCAAGCTTGGATGTTTTTCTAATAGATATGCTCTCCGAATTATTTTGGGGAAGTTCTATGGCCTGTGTTATTCAGGAAGTCAGACTAGATGATCATAGTGGTCCCTTCTGGCCTTGGAATATATGAATCATTGCTATTTGCGTAACTTCTGCACAGTCTCTCAGATGTTAAGGGCAGTTTTCACTTGGCTTGTCACAAATTTAATGTTTTAGGTCGATTATGTGAATGCTTACTAGTTGCTGCTAGTGTTTGGGAGAAAATACTGCAGCTTGAGACTAGTCCTACAAGATATTTGCGTAAATCAAAATGAGAAAGAAATTGATTGACTGACCAGCAAATGACCCATTTTGTGAGGGGATTCCAAAGCTTATTCTCAGAAGCATCTAGACTTCTGTCACTTGAGATTTAGAAACAAAAAAGACCGAAAGAAAAAGGTTAGATTGGTGCAGTAACTACATTTTGTAATTTTTTATCATAGCATCGTTTCTATCAACTTTCTAAACTAACAAACCTACTGAACAAAATTTATGAGAAAATGATTTCTTAATGTAATAATTTTATGTACACATGAGCTTATCAATGTTTTTTTAAATCCCCTTTAAAATTAAATATTGGTCTCCTTTGTAAAAGTAGGTATTCCAAACATACTCTGTGTTTCCATGCAGCAAAATAACATGCTCATCCCTATTTTTTAACCGGACATTATTTCATATCTAACTTCTTATTGTTCTTCAAGAGCTTGCTCATATCCATTCCGTTGCTAGGTGTGTGACCACCACATATACAGTTGTTGGAGATCTTTCCCTTAGTGCTATCCGTAGGACCGGCTCTGGCCAGGATAAGGGGTGCCACCACCTCTGCACCCTCTCAGTTCCTTCTTACTGCCTGTGATGGTTGCTTGGAACGATCCCTCTTGCTCTTGCAAGGCTTCTTTCCCAGTGGTTTGGACTTTGTAGCATATTGTTTTTGTAGATACTTCTTATTTAGTGTCAGTGTATATAGTGTGAATCATGGTCCCTGTCGTCAAGGGACTTTGGTCCCAGGGGCTGAGCATGCCATGGTCCCTGAGCTTCAAGCCATGTGCCTCCTGCAGCAAGCCCATGCCAGTGCGTGACCCGAACTCTAGCTGTCTAAAGTGCCTCAGGGAAACTTGCGTTAAGGAGAAGCCAGATCTGCAAGGGCTTCAGACCATGCACTCAAAAAGATAGACGTTCACCTGAAGGTTGTACTCATGGAGGCAGCCCTCAGACCAGCCTCAGAGCTGAGCCGCTGCGAATTGGCACCAAGCCCTTTTGGCTTCCATGCGAAGCGCTGCCCTAACACTGCTCTTCCTGGCACCATTCTCCATTCCCGGTGCCGAGGAAGAAGCATAAGAAACAGCTTGCCAAGAGAAGGCGCTTTACGGTGTGAAGAGGAAAAAGTAGAGAGTGACTAGCAGTAGGCCACTTGTCCTCCCCAGAGGCACTGCTGGCTCCAGCGACTTCAACTAGAGCACCAAGTCCAGTCCGGGACCCACCCCAACTCCCAGGCACAATCATGGGACCTTGCGGCTGCAAGCCTCTTTGGCTCTGGAGGCTTTTCAGGAGGAAAAGGATCGGATGTCCCTCCCTATCCCGCCCACCAATGAAAGGCCCCTGCCATTCAGGGCTACTGGGGACAGAAAGGGTCATGGGGCAGTGAGCTCCATCATGGCATCGACCATCATAGCACCCCACAGAGGAAAACCCTCCATGGTCCCATTGTAAGTGTCTCCGGCCAGTCACCAGGTGCTCCCCAGCACCATCTGTAGGCGGAAGCAGGCACAGAAACCTCATAGTCTCAGAGGGAAGAATCCTCTTCGGAGTCCAAAGGGGAATCCTTCACCCGGTTGAAGAAGTACCAGTACCTGTACCTGAACTATGTACCAGACTTCAGTACTGGCTCCCCCAGCTGTCGGTTGACCACTGGCAAATGCAGTCACAGTCTTGAAAGCTGTGGGGGTTTCACCAAGTGCTGCGGCTCTCTTTCCACCATTCATACTCAGTGGAGTCCAAGAGGCGAGCCACTGTTTCATCCCACCCAACACCGGACCCTGACTCCAGTACCAACCCCGATACTGAGGTCTCAGAAGTGGGCCCAGTGGAAGTGGTACAGGTGGAGGAAAAAGAAGCAGTCCCTCCTCCAATGCTAGCCTCTTCCTCAGTATCCACAGATGAGGTGATCACAGACCCGAGTACTCTGTTCCTTCCAGATGGTGGATAGCAAGCTGGCTAGGTTGTCGGGCTCAGCTGGTAGTGATCAATGGCTCCATGTCTAGTTGGCAGTCGGTATCAAGTGGTGTGCCCCAAGGGTCGGTCCTCAGGCCGGTTTTGTTCAATATCTTCATTAATGATCTGGAGGATGGTGTGGATTGCACCCTCAGCAAGTTTGCAGATGACACTAAACTGGGAGGAGAGGTAGATATGCTGGAGGGTAGGGATAGGATACGATACAGAGGGCCCTAGACAAATTAGAGGATTGGGCCAAAAGAAATCTGATGAGGTTCAGCAAGGACAAGTGCAGAGTCCTGCATTTAGGACGGAATAATCCCATGCACCGCTTAGGGACCGAATGGCTAGGCAGCAGTTCTGTAGAAAAGGACCTAGAGGTTACAGTGGACAAGAAGCTGGATATGAGTCAACAGTGTGCCCTTGTTGCCAAGAAGGCCAATGGCATTTTGGGATGTATAAGTAGGGGCATTGCAGCAGATCGAGGGACGTGCTTCTTCCCCTCTATTCGACCTTGGT